ATGTGTGAAAAACTTGTTGCATCTTTCCCAATAAGACTCATGGCTGTATTAGATCAAAAGGGTGCTTCTACTAAATACTGAGCAAAGGGTCTGAATACTTAGGACCATGTGATATTTCAGTTTTTCTTTTTTAATAAATCTGCAAAAATGTCAACAATTCTGTGTTTTTCTGTCAATATGGTGTGCTGTGTGTACATTAATGAGGAAAAAAAATTAACTTAAATAATTTTAGCAAATGGCTGCAATATAACAAAGAGTGAAAAATTTAAGGGGGTCTGAATACTTTCCGTACCCACTGTATGTAACGCTGCGGACTGGTCTACGCCGCTCATCTACGACCTCGACATTCGTACCGCTCCTGGTTCCTCCGTCCTCTTGCCATAGTATACACTGAAGTCATACACACTATGCAGGGACTTGAATGTCTGGCGGCATGGGCATCTCGTTCCCAAAGAGTTCGACGCAGCTCGAGTTCCTGAAGGGGAACGCCTCAAGGTTATGTATGTAACCCTAGTTCCCAGAGGGAATGAGACGCTGCGTCTCCTGCCATACTTCCGGCATCCCTGCGAGCGCTTCCCTCATTCTCCAGAAGATGCCGCTGTCTCCACCGCACATGCTTTTATAGCTTCCTGGTCACACGTCACCCCGTCCGTGACGTCACGCCCATCCATTGGTCTGATTACACACAGGATTCAGAGCATAGTCATGCTGAAGGCGTTCCCAAAGCGTTCGATGCAGTGTCACATTCCCTCGGGGAACTAGGGTTACATACGTAACCTTGAGACATTATTGATGAGCAGAGTAGACATAAGATTATTATTGTCTTTTCTAAGTCTCTATGTTCTCAATTTGATCTCATTAGTGTAGGAAAAACCATTCAGATTTCAAAGAAATCTCATTTGTGATTTAGAAGTAGATAATGGGTCTGCATTCCTTGTCATTTCTAGTAAACATAATCCATAATTAATTAATTTCTTACCATAGTTTTGAACAGTTAAACATCACTGCAAACTTTAATGCACAGATACACAGGAAGCATTATGACTGCAGGTCATAAACACAAATACATTAGTTGCCGCCCATATGATTTACCCATATTAGCATCAGCTGCTTCATGTGAGCATAAGAAGATGCATAGATGTGCGTCACACTATTTTTAGGATTACTGTCTGAGCTCCGCTGTAGTGCTAGCAAACACATTACGCCGAGCATGCCGCTCAGGAGAATTGTGATCTGAAGCACTCTCAGGCATTTAGATGCAATGCATTGTGGGTAGACTCTGGTGGGTGGTTGCCCCTTGTGATGAGATTGTCTCTGCTCGAGCCCAGTGCCAAATGCATCTCTCAGGCTTGTGTAATTCACGAAAAGGCACTCACATACGGTAACTGATTTAGCTCTGCAGACAAGCCCCAACCGTAATGGGGCTGCAATATGATCCGTGCAGCCGTATACGCTGCTCTGCAGTCACTCGGAGATCAGAAGACAGAGGATGGGGTGGATATAGCAAAATGCAATCAATTTCTTGTCTGATAGAAACTGCAGCCATAAGCTTGGTAAGTATTAATGGTAAACAGCATCAGATTAGCCTAATGTCCTGCTGACCAAGGCCATTTGATATTTACCGCTTACAGTAATACCAATAAGCAATGATCGTGGAATGCACTGTCTCCAGATCTTTACGGTCTGACTCTGGGAAGCGCGAGCTTCCATGTAAATATGCCGTCTGAGGACAACAGCAAGTTGTGGAGCAGTTCCAACCCAGCTTATTTAGTTTTATGGCAGCGTTATAGTTGCTCGCCTCACTTCTTGACTTGTGGTCCCATCAGGCTGCACCGTCCGTTTTGAAACAATCCTTCAATAAAAGCTTTTCTATTCACACTTCATATGCTGCAGGCAAAGGGAAGCGAAGATGAGAGATGGACAGAGAGGAGAAGTGGGTGCAGAGGAAAGCGGAGAACTTGCTTTAATTGTTATGCAGGGAAATGTTCTGCTTATTCTGGTGTCAGATTCATGGATTCCCATTAGAAAGCCACTAGCAATCAAGCCGCCTTCAATTAGCCTGTTATTGCATTCAGTAAAATTTATTTGCAGCTCAGTTGAATGATTTTGTTATTAATCAGGATAAATTAGCTTCTTCGGAGACACAATGAACACAAATGATTGGCTCTGAGAGTCGTGTTTTGCTAATAACGATACTCAGATGTAAAATAGCATCCCTCTATGCTGATGACGTCTCGTTGGTGATCATTCTTTTTAATAGTATGTCAAGCTGATGGTGAAAGGGTTGAAATTCTATACAGGAGTGAAAGAAAGAGAAATACCAATAACAGGAAGATGGAGGTACGGTGACCCCTGGTGAGAAAACATCGGACTTATTTTATCGAGCCTCTATCAAGCTCTAGGTACTGCGTTTTATGTTCTCGAAGCCACAGTTGCGATTCATAGGCTTTGGATTGAGAAAACGCAGCAGCAATTATACACACAAATGTGCAAGATCATCCACATACTGTGAATTGGGTGGGTGAATCTCTCACTGTAATGGTCATATTTCATCCCCAAATTATAGGAACAATTTACATATATGCATAAAGAAATTAGTCAGTTTTTGCATTGACATTGTTACATTTAAGCATATTTTTCAACTAAATTATCGTTATGCAAAACAATATAAATTCCCATTACTTTAAAGGAAAAGTTTGTTTTATGTTTTAAAATCAAAATCAGTATTACAAAAATGCACGGAAACAAGCAACACCATGATGTATAAATGCCTTACAATTTATTTATTTATTTATGAGATTTTAAAAAACAATGCATCAGTTTAATGCACAATGTTTAAAATCTTTACTATTTTTTTTTTTTATTTATGCATGTATTTATGTATTTACTTTTGCATTTCAGTAATGAGAATTTAAATGGTCTTGAAAAAATATTCATTTTCACACCATGATGTGTAATGTATTTATTTATATTTTCTTTTCGTTTTGTATTACAATAAAGAGAATTGTAAAGGTCTTAACTAATGCTTCCTTTTTAATAACACAGTATTTATATTCTTTACTTTTTATTATTTATGCATGTACTTATTTATTAAAATTTTCATTACAATAATTCACATTTTTATGGTCCATAAAGGACCATCTACCATGGCACATAAATTCATAACCATTTATTTACATTTTCTTTTCTTTTGTATTTGAAGGTGTTCCGTCCTTTCATTCAGCTAATGCTACTATATAATACTATGATATTTGGAGATTTCTCTGCAGTCATAGTCTGTTTTGATGCATGCACATGTCCATCAGATAACAAAAGGGATTGATGCACACTGTTATATTTAAGAGAAGGACTCAGCCCTTTGTGGTTTTAGCAAAGTTCTTTGTCCAAAACACAAAACAGATCGATACATATAGTTCAGATGGGGATTTAAATGTGGATTCTTTATGTCTTTGATAAGGTCAACTTGATAAGGTCAAACTGCTCAATGCCAAGCGACTAGCTCGCACTCATGCATATTCATGCGTTTCACTGTGTGCACGTGATGCTTTTTTATTTTCAAGCTGGTGAGTTTCATTTCCTTTTGAGTAAATGATGCATTTTAAATGGGCTACTTAAATGGTGGCATGAGCATCAACTGTGTAAAATGAGAAACGTCTGTGCCATTAGAGGAGCATTTGTGTTGGTTGAACTGCTGTATTATAAAGGGAAATGAAGAATATCTTTGTTCACCTCAGTTCTTTCCCCTTTGTTATCAGGTTTCACACATCCTGATTCCTGAACAGTGGACTGTTCTGCAATCTGGTGCCTACAACAAAATTGCACTGACTTCCAATGACTCCCAATGCGACTTCTGTTATCATTTTGGCTGTATGTGCTTTGTTGACATCTGTGGGTTTTGTGGCTTTGTGTTTTTAAGGTGGCCCATCCGGATGGTCTTCTTCTCACTGCGACTGCTGCTGCAAGAGCCACAAGAGCGAGCGTGAGGGTGAGAGTGGCACTTCCTTCAACGAGCTCTCCACTTCCTGTTCCGAGACCCAATCGGAAGCCAGCTCTCCGCAGGAAACGGTCATCGTGCGCCCGGTCACCCGTCAGCCCAACATCCAGACTTTGGACCGGCCGGTGAAAAAGGGTCCAACCCTGATTCCAAGGAGAACTGATCTGCTTCGCGTTCGAACCACCGGGCCACGTGACGGCATGGCAGGGAAGAGGAAACCGGCCAAGGAGAAGATGACGGCGGAGCAGGAGCTGAAGAAATGCATCCAGGACTTCCGGCGGATTAAAATTCCAGAGCGCTTTCCAGAGAGGAAGTACATCTGGCAGTCGGAGCTCTTGAAAAAATATCAGCTCTGAAATGATTTCCTGCGGGCTCGCTGAGCCTATTAGTGCAACACAACAAAGCTCTCAGCGCATACGATGACATCATAATTCTTCTTTGCTTGAACTTAATTGGCTCGTCTGTGTAAACATGCGGTAAGATGCACAATTAACAATTCAGTGAACCTCAAGTGACTCCTAAAGGGACCGGTCCTGTTTTGCTACCGGGGCACAATGGCATTAAAGTCTAAACCAATTTCACAGCGTCTAGACAAACCTCTCAAATAAAACCAGATTGTATATATACAAAATAATCACAAGTGTGTATTACCTGGTGATACTCAATGTAGATGCACGGAGAGCACAGCACTTTTGTACAGCGTTCCACCTGTAAATGCAATGAACATATGAGAACTGGAGGATTCGTATGTGAATGTGGTTTGCATTATCCAATACTGTGTTAAGCTGATGGAGAGTTTTAAAGAAAAAGTTCACCCAGAAATGAACTATTGCTGAAAACGTACTCACTCTCAGGCCATCCAAGATGTAGATGAGTTTGTTTCTTCATCAGATTTGGAGAAATGTAGCATCACATCACTTGCTCAGCAAGGGATCCTCTGCAGTGAATGGGTGCCGTCAGAATGAGAGTCCAAACAGCTGATAAAAACATCACAATAATCCACAAGTAATCCACACCACTCCAGTCCATCAGTTAATGCCTTATAAAGCCAAAAGCTGCATGTTTGTAAGAAACAATACAAGTTTTCTTAAAAGAAACCTAAATACAAGTTTATAATCCATAATAACGCTTCCACCAGTGAAAAAGTCCATCTCCTGTTATCCTCTCACATATTTGTTTTCACTTGTGCATATTTCTCTCCTGATTCAGACAAGATGACTTTTCACTGGAGAAGCAATAGTCTAAAAATAGGACTTTCATACTCATATTTAGTAAGCAACGGCTTGAAGTTAAAAACGTCTTAATGATGAATTTGTTTCTTACAAACACAGTTTTTCTCTTCATGGGACATTAACTGATGGACTGGAGTGGTGTGGATTACTTGTGATGTTTTTATCAGCTGTTTGGACTCTCATTCTGACGGCACCCATTCACTGCAGAGCTTCCAAGTGATGCAATGCTACATTTCTCCAAATCTGATGAAGAAACAAACTCATCTACATCTTGGATGGCCTGAGGGGGAGTACATTTTCAGCAAATTTATATCTTTGGGTGGACTATTCCTTTACCACAAATGTACCCCTTTATTTAAAGCGTCTAAACAGCACAAGTGAGTATGTTTCTGCGGTAGAATATCTTTGGGTGGACTATTCCTTTACCACAAATGTACCCCTTTTTTTAAAGCGTCTAAACAGCACAAGTGAGTATGTTTCTGCGGTAGACAGATGACAATGCATGTTATGTCACTCATATAGAGTAATGGCTCATATCAATGAACGCATTTAGTTTGTGATGTGATCTACATTATTCACCAAACTTCATTCACCATTCATTCAAACCCAGCGGAAATACATCAACAGGATCGGACTGAAATATTAAGCTGTTTCTGTTTGTCATTGTGAACGTTTGTGCTGAGACTTTTGATTTCGCTCGTGGGTATATGAGGATGTTTTGTTCTGAATGTGCAATGAATCATTAAACGAACTGGGTTTAAAATACAATTTGTTCATCTGAGTTGATATAATCCTGACACATTGCAATGTTGCACCTCTTGCGGTTTCGCATTAGAGTAGGCACAGCATTTAAACTGGATTCTTGACAGAAAAAACAAGAGCTGCTTGTTTCTTATTTGTGTCAAATAAATATATGTATGCAAATCAGATAGAAGATGCGAGAGGGTAAATTGTCTCTTCACGAATGTGGCAGATGACCTTACTCTTCTCTCTGAATTGAACAGATTATGAGCTTTGCTGAATCTAAAACTAAACCGCCAGACAAATCTCTGCAATACCCCTTACAATATTCAGCTGATTTCAGATGCACGGCGGTGTAATTCTGCATTCTACTGCCTGATATATTCGTTTTCTCTTTTTCTGTCACTGTGAAGGAAAATTGTTGATAAATACAGTACATGCATCACAAGTACCATTTTTAACTTACTATTTTAAGCCACAAGATTCTGCAGTGTTTCTACATTTCATGTACAGCAGAGAAGCTTTGGGGCTGCAGAAGCATGACAGACTTGCAAAAGTTTATGCGTTTATCGAAGACAAATCAGAAATCTATGGAAGCCTGTTTCTGCCACTGAATAAAAAATATAAAAGGTAATTTCGACTTTTTATTTCACAACTCTGACCTTTTCCCCCCAAAATTCTGTCTTTTTTCTCAGAATTGCATGATATGAACTCACAATTGCCAGTTATAAAGATATAACCTTGCAATTGTGAGAAAAAAGTCAGAATTGCAAGATACTAACTCGCGACTGCAAGAAAAAAAGTTTCTATGCAAAATGTTTGTGCACGTTTCTGTGCAATTCTGACTTTATAACACGCAACTGTGACTTTATATCCCACAATTCTGACTTTATAACTTGCAAATGTGAGTTTATATCATGCAATTATGAGAAAAAAAATCTGAATTGTGAGCTGTACACTCGCAATTGAGAGAAAAGTCGCAATTACCTTTTAAAAAAATTGTATTTAGTGACGGAAACGGGCTTCCATACAAATCTGCTAGAAAGCATCTTATAAAGTTGACATTCAAATATACTATCATTCAGTTATTAAAATCTAAGTTCTTTATGCTGAAGAAACAGGATTCACTTTGTAACTCCGGGAAGCCAGGAGGTTTAAATGTGAGGTTTCCGGCAACATTTTTGTCTTGTGCTATTATCGCATTATGATCCTCAGCTAACTGTACTTTTTTCATCTAATGCATTACACATCTAGTTTCCTGGTCAATATTTTGTTAGTGGGAGACTCACAGTAGACTACTGTCTCCACAGTTGTGTGCTCAGCTTCACAGTTCAAACCCAACATGCATACTAACGATATAACTTCAAGACACATTTAATTGATTTTGCAGTTGAAATAGTTCAATCAGCATCAAAGGCATTTGTCATCTTCATCTTCTTTTGATCCTGCTTCAGTCTTGTCTACTTGTGTTTAAAAATTGAAATGACCCCTCCATGTATTCCTCGTGTCCATATTACACTCCTAAACAGATCAATGAAAGGGCATGGGAAGGATCCCAAATTCGGCCCTGTACAGTGACACACTGCTCTCTTTGAGAATCAATAGCAGAACTTCCTAATAGAAGTTCAGAGTGAGTAAAATCCCCTGGTCAGACAATAGAAAGAACATATGACCAGCGGCTAACCTCAGTCTGAATCAAATATCGCCTGATTTCATCAAACAGTTCCTACAATGTGAAGATGAGAGACAGAGAGAAATATTTCTAGAAAGACAATGTGCTATTATTGAATTGTATTATATAATACATAATACGTGCTGGGAACTGATTACATGTCATCTGGATTAAGTACTTAAAAATTAAGTACTTGTAATTAGATTACACTACATTTTAAAACACTCATAATGAGACTGCAGTTACTTTTTTATTGATTACATATTATTCACATATTAGCAACTGATATTCATAATTTATTGATTCTCCCTAATTTTTTCCCCCTGTCTAAAATAGCTTACCGCTTACATACATTCAGCAAGTCTTCCAGTTCTGTGGACATTCACAGAAAGACCAGTCAGTATTATAATTATATAATATTATAATTACAGTCAGATGGTTATAATTACACAGAAAATTGAGAGGCCACAAAGCATTTGACTACTGGATTTACAAAATTCATTTCAGTTTTAAGAAATGTTTTCTCAACATTTCAACAATGCATGAACTACTGATGAATACATTAATTTTTATTTGAATTATCATTTTGTTTAACCATGTATTACTATGTCTTTGGAAGGGTTTTGTCTTTCAAACATATTAAAATACACAAAGTCACATTATATAACTTTTTTGAACGTCTTTGACCTAATATATTTACTTGAAGTTCCCCAGAGATTTTAAGGTAATAACTAAGTAACACATTTGCAATGTGCACAGTTAATGATTACATAACATGCATGTAAACAAATGAAATATTTCATCTTTTTTAGTAAGTGTTTTCAGGGACATCAGTGGTTCAACCGTGGTACTCTCACGAATGAGGGCGGACAGTGACAGGGAAGAGAAGAATTGATGAATAAAGTCGTTATTTTTGTGTTCTCTATGCACAAAAACTATTCTCGTTGCTTCCTAAAAGTATGGTTGGACCACTGATGACTCGTGGACTATTTTAATGATGTCCTTACTACATTTCTGGGCCTTGAACGTGGTAGTTGCGTTGCTGTCTATGCAGGGTCAGAAAGATCTCGGATTTCATCAAAAATATCTTAATTTGTGTTCTGAAGATGAACGAAGGTCTTTGTAAGTACATGAGGGTGAGTAAGTAATGACTGAATTTTCATTTTGGGGTGAGCTATCCCTTTTTTAAAAAAAAAACACGGAAAAATGGACAGGCACTAATGCACTGAAATGTGGTAGAGATAAAACACCGCACATAGTTGTGAATAGTCTCAGGATTTTTTATTTATTTAGAAAATGTCACCTTAGGAGCTTCTTAATACTCTGCGCAGTTGACAGACGTGATTAACACTTTGATGCCAGGAACAATGTCTCAAAAAAAAATATATATAAAGTTAGGCTTGCTCTGAAGAAAGTTCTAATTGCAGATTTCACTTGGTTCGATATTTTGTTTTCTAATGCATTGCACTTCATACATTTTGAAGTCTGGCTTTAGTATCTAAAAACCTTTTGGGGTCACTGTATAATATTACAGTATTAATCAATCAGGCTTTATTTAATACAGTAGCTTAAAGTAGGAAATAATCTCAACCAAAAGGGGCCAAAAACATGTTCCTTTTCTCTATCACAGTACTGATGCTTTTTCAGCACTTTAATGGCATGCTGTCTAGAATGATGCATTACAGGACGTCAAAGTCTATTCTAGCATGTAAAAGTGTGTTATGTAATATATTTATTTTAGCTGCAGCATCTCGGTATGAAGCGCAGACGATCCTGCCTCATAGCAACACACCTAGAGTCACAGAATAAATGATATGGTTTAGCTGGGGGTCTTCTGGGCACTGTCGAGATTCATGGTTCTGCTGATTTCTCCAGCTGAGCTGAATTATCATCACCCCTTCAGGTCTCAGTTGAAAAGCTGTGTGTTTTTGCTCACAGTAGTCCTTCATTATATGAAGAAAAGACTAATTTTTAAAAATGGTTTATTGTAGTTTTCTGCTTGCAGTCCAGGTTTTTTTTTTAAGTTAAAGGTTTACTTACTGACCTAAAACTAGCATTGGATGTCTATGAACTTGTGTCAGTAGGAATGTGTGAGTTGATAATAATCTGAGGATAGCAGGTTTCATAACATGGGACTGCACATTTCTCTTTTTCAGCCCAAAGGCACTTGGATCCTCAAACAATTCAGTGGCT